GTGCACCCAAATCTTAGCAAACGGGCCTACAGCATTACCACCTCCATCTGAAATGTAGCCGCCGCCGCCGCGATTCAATCCCGCAACCTGTGGGTCAGCAGCCGAGTACCTTAGCCACTAGACCAGCGTGGCGGGGTGTCTAACTTTCATGACGGGCAATTATTTCAAGTTGCCATCAACTTGAAATCGTTAACTAAAGCACTATATGAGTACTTTGTTAACGTGTACAATGTGCCAATTAACGCTGCTGCTTCACGTCATCGCGAGGACTTACGCGTGGAACATACCTGAGGGCCGCAGGCAGATCAGGTTAGCGAAATAAATGAGACGCATAAGGCACCTATCTTGAAAGTATTTTTCCGCTGACGACGGTTATCTTCCTAAGCTTCTAATTATGTAGAAGCGGTGGTTGCTCATTTATTCTTCGCATATCTTCAAATCCTTCGCACGCTTCTTTATAATTAGCAACAAGCGAGCGACTGCGACATCATTAACTTTTAAGCCTGCCGGCGCGCGACAACAAAAAGAAAGCGGGCAGTCTTACCTGCCCACTTTCTTTTTTTCTCCAGGGAATGAAATATGCATCGCAGTCAGTGTCATAATGAAGATCCTCGGCCCACGGAAGAGCAGCAGGAGCAGCTCAGGTTGTACCAAAGTTAACGGCATGCGTAGAGGGGCAGCCGTGAATGAACACACGATGGAATTTTTTTGAAATCACTGGCTCGCTATCTCTGAGCACTCTTGCGTGCTGGAGTGCTGCGTCACCACTACTCGGCAATGACGTCAGAACCGGAGCTTTCTTGGTTGGCCGAGCACCGGCCGCATGGTTCTTGAAATCCATTCGCTCCTCTTTACCGATCATGCGAGAAGAGCGGTGTGAAGAAAGAGCCTCTACTCTTGCTCGTATGCGCACGTGCGTTGACGCATAGAAGACGCCCCGCCATCTCTTCATAGTTGGCACTCCGAGAGTAGACGGCATTTGATTTATTATGATCTTTTTTCAAAGTATTAGGATACCTAGTTCTAGTCCCTCTCCCCCTCCTTCCCATTTTGCTAAACTAACGCCGGAAGTTGGCCTCGGTGACATATTTGACCAGGAAAGAAATATTAAACCAGCCACACTTAGCCTACACTCATGAAACAGCTAAGCTTGTGGCCTTCCCTTCGTCAGGCCATAACGTTTTCCAAGTCTTTCAGATATTTTTGTATCACTGCTTTCCATTAACCGTTCTTCGTTAAACTTTCAGGTGGTAGCCCAGCCACGACCTTTTATAATCACGATGTGTCACGTGACAGTGGCGTGACTATATACGGCAACACGCACGCGATTTGTTGTTGCCCTCTTGCTTTTCGGTGTGCAGTCAGATATATCCAATTTCTGTGACACATACGCACTTATGACGATGATAGCTTTCTGACCATCCGCACACATCTCTGTGGAAGGCGACTCGTTTGTTGGGCTAACCTGTCACCATATCGTTTAGTGTGCCATTAGTGAGAGATAAGATTTACCCAATATATGTGGCTAATGCCCATCTGTGACGTCCACCTGCGTTACCGCGGATCCCGGACACGAAAGCCTCGTCCAAGAACTGCCTCTCTGTTAAAAGACGTCCGGGAGAAGTTCAGTGGAGCTCAGGTTCACCGGGATAACGATGTACTGTGGCAACTTCATTGACAACGAAACTGTCGCCCCTACCACCGTCGATTGTAGCTTGAGTTCTACATCGTCGATAGAACTGCTTCACTCTGACACACGTAGTTGGAGGATTAACGTCCCAAAATCGCGATATGGTTATGATAGACGCCTTAATGGTGGCCGCCGGCATATTAAACCCCCTGGAGTTCTACTCCATGCACCCAAATTGAGGCACACGGGTATCAAATGCAGCCACGGGGACAGTGAGGAGCGTGACCCGTGTATATAAACTTAAGCGTACGAGCATAAAAACTGTCGCCCATGCTAACGCGTGAACTATTAACATACATGTCGTCTCGGCCCCTGTCATAGCAACGTCGCACGTTTCTGTCACTCTCGCTTTACGGTAACGGGAAAAACTGACGTAGAGTCTCCTGAAACGAAGATGCTGAAATGTTTATAGCTTGGTTACTGTCGCGAACTTCTCACAACTGTACTTCGATGTGAATCTTGCTTCACGCTAACATTCTTGAACCATTGCCATAACCGTACGTGGCATAAAATGCGGATGGAATTATAGTGTACTGAAAGCCAACAGGTCTCGTCTCCACGAACTTACGTGGACTTGATGAGCACACCAAATTGTGCGATCAGATGGTTTTTCTTTCTGTCTCATGAACCATTTATTCCTCTTACTCAGCGCAGGGTAGCAAAACTAGCATGCATGGTCATTATCTCTGAACTTGCAAACCTTTCACTCCTTTCCATGACATTTTACGATTGACGTTTATATTTCAATCTGAGTGGCTATGTAGTTAGATAGTACGCTTCTCAGTGACGACTCATTAAACCGCAAAAGTAAATGCTTTTGCACAAAATTCCCAATATTTATATTTATGAAAAGTAGCGATAATTTTTCTATGCGATTCTTCAGGCGGTTCCTGGACTCGCATGAGTCAATTTGCGTTGGTTGATGGTGTTTGACAACACTTAAAGGCACCCTGAAACGCTTTTTCAAGTAATCGTCTCATGGATCCACTAAAGGTGACTATTACTTCGCGATTCTCTTGCCGCGATAATTTTTAGGATCCGTCACGTGCGAGCGGAGTTAGGGAGTCGAGATGCACTTTACGCGATTTTTTACTCCTTTCGTACGAGCGAGCGCGCTGGAAGCTACGCAAATGGTACAATGAAAAAGGGGGAAAGAAACTACGTCCTTTCGTAAGCGCAAGTGATGTCTTTGAACACTTATTTCATTTTTTTTATTTTATTTGTTTTTTAATGAAACGCGCGGCGTATATTTTCGACGTATGTGCGAGCACGTGCGCGGGTACGTAGCACCATCTGGTGTTGGCTACTGTAACTATGCCACTCACGATGCTACAACAAGCCTAAGGCCACGAACTCTGCAGGTTTTATGGTGCGGTTACTCAGGTTTATGGCATCATTTTTAGAAAGAAGAAGGCGCGATTGCTAACCAAGTTTGAGAATTATTGTAAATTCATGGTTATGTGTTGCGATATAATGTTTGGGCCACTTGTTCTCGAGATTCTCGTCTATACCAATAGGCAACGTCTTCTGACGATGCTGAAAGACTCTTACTGTGCCCATTTAAAATGGAGCGCCGTTTTCGACATTGAGTTTTTTTTTTTACCGTGCTAACACGCGCAGCTGTTAAGCCAGGTATGGGCCAGAAAAAAAAATCTTATAATATCATGCGAATAATTTTTTTTTGTGAAAGATAGTCACATGGAATTTTTGAGTTATTGTTTCCATTACAAAAGGCTATCAATTCTTGTCACTTGAGGGTCTTACCTTAAGCCTGAAAGATCCATCAGCATGTTAGTGAATAACGAGAGTCATTATTAAGAGTAAAATGACGTGTGTGCCCCGATTCACGTACTGAACACGTTGGCAGATGGGTGGGTATTCCTGCCTTCAGATGTAAACAGAGGTATCTACGTATCAGTTAACCAAGAAAGATGTTCTGCTGTTATATGAGAGCTTTCCGTCGATCACTGATTCACATCAAACTGATATGGAGGCAACATGCCAGCAGTCTTAAATTGGTTGCCTTATATTTTGTCGTTTACACAACATCACACACACATATTTTACATACTCTTCATACCTTCTCGAACTGAACGTAGGGGTAAGTGTCACTTCACGATTTACGCACATATATATAGTATGGTACAAGCTGTAAGATAGAGCTACATTTTTCCACTGGTGCCTCACAGGCATCCTTTCGTGTCCTCACTTCTTCGCGGCCGTCAGAGGGTATTCTAGTTTGGGGGATACGAGAGGGTCACATTTCATTCATGCACGTGAACTTTGAGTTGCCGAGAATGCAAGACGACTTGTGCACTACAATCATGAACGTTGAGTTCTACATCTGTTATATTTAAAATCCACAGCAACGGGCAATGAGAGAAACAAAAAGAAAGACATAAGAAGAACAGAATCCACACGAAGAACGAAATAATAATATAATGTAGTACCATATACTTTCGTGTTAGGATCTCACCATTTCGCTGAATTAAGTGGTCATAGAAGCCACTTTAAAACCGCAATGTCGTCCTAAATTCTTCCAATACTGACAAGAAAACTGAGAGCATCACGTCAGCAACCATGCGTCTTTTTTCCTCACACTCATCGAGCATTCAAAGTTACGGTCGTTACTGACTGTTATTGCAATGATCGTCCTAAATGAGTCTTTTGCTTTCCCAATTTACGATATTCTAGAGGTATCCACGCAAGTTTCAGTCATGCGTGAGGGACTTAACATTTAATGAACACTGGTCGCTGAAGAAAGCTACAAATGAGCCACCGTCGTTGAATTCACAAAAATTCCGTAAGCGCTCCTCGTCACTATAGCGCCTGACGTAATGATGTGCCTTGAATAGTAACTGGCTGAAATTTCGCGAACAATTTTGGCGTAGGTGGTTTTCGCGAAGACGGGTCTCTGTCAACAAGATAAACGCTTATCGCGTGAATCACAAATGGAAGTTCTTAGCTCGCCAGTTCTCGCGAGACGTTGAAAGTTATTCTGAGGCATTAGGCATTCGTGCATCTTCTCTTTTATGGCAGCTCGGAGAGCACCGGAATTTTACAACGGAAATTAGGGACTACTATAGCGACCGATGCGCCCGCTGCTTGATGACAAGAAGCGCACACGCTTTTCCAAACCAGGAGGCGCGGCCCCCTTAGCGCCTAATGCTACAATAAAACGTCTCTCTCGCACACACACACGCGCGTTTCAAGGTCAAGGCCGGAGCACCATTCTCGCAGAAGGTGTTCCCACAGAGAGAAGAAAACAAATGGGATGAGTGATGGAGAGAAAGAAAGAGGGCGGGCTCACCTCCCAGATGGATCGAAAGTCCCTCTGCTCGATCCTCAGCAGCTCGCAGTACTCGTTGGTGACCACGGTGGCACTGTGGGGGCTGTTGTCGAGCACGGACTCGCCGAACGCAGTGCCGATGCCCAGCGTACACAGTGTCACGGAGTCCTGCACGACAGCACGCCGCCGGCAGTGAGCAGCGGCGTCGTCGTAAAGGAACGCTGGCGACGCCGCGAAGGATCCACCATCGCCCGCCCGCCGCGGGCCTCAGAGAAACGCGCGCGCGTCTACGCAGGGAGGGAGGCGGCGTGGAGGGCAGAGCGCGCGCCGTTCGCGAGTGTTACAACAGGAGATGGAGCGCGCGCCCGGCTTCTCTATATTTTTTTTTACACCCCCGCCCTCCCTCACTTCCAGCGCGCTAGAGTCTCGGTGGCCTCCCCCGCGTGGATAACCCACCCTCAACCTCCGCGCTTCGGCGCGTTCTTCCTCCTTTTTGTGGAACGGTTTCTTTCCCTCGCGATCCCACGGGACGTTATGGCGGGAAAGGAAACGCGGAGAGGAAAGGATGGGAGTATAGGGATCTCTCCCCGAGCTTACATTCGCTCCTCTCTCCCTTTTCTTTTTTTCTTCCCGCAAGAAAGATCGCACCGAAAGGATGGAGGTGGCTGCGATGCAAGCGCCACTGTTTCAGACTGGCGGTGAGCTACGGAAGCACGCTCCCAAACAGAGGCGAAGGGTTGCCGAGCGGAAATGCTGCCTGGGGATATAACAGTATCGACGGTCGGGTATCGAGAAAAAAAAATGAAATAATAGGATGGGATTTTGTACGGGAGACGTAACCCCAAAAGTTCGCAACGTTTGTAAGCTCACTGAAAAGGACAATAAACGCAGGCCTGGCCACAAGAAATGGCTGTTACAGAGCCCACTTGCCTCCTCGACTTAATCTGCTGATGGTGGACGTTTTAAAAAGTTGTTTTTTGTTCTTCGAAAGAGCCCTCCAGGGCATCGTTGAGTGAAGCGCGAAAGCGAAAATCGAAAGGTTAAAGTTCGCCAAAAACATCGTAAGGGCCGGCAGATGACAGCCCCAGAGACGTGCTTCGCAGCCTAAGTTTGCTCTTTCATCCGAGTGGCACGTTTTCTCGCAATGTTACAGAGTGGGCACCATTTGGGAGTGGCTGCACAGTTTTTTGCTACCCATTCAGGAAGATATTAAAAAAAAAGGGGGGGGGGGATCACAAAAAGAAGCACCGACTACCGTTTCTGCTCAAGTAACACAAGATCAGCAAATTGTGCAGGAGCGCACCTTTTACTACTTCTTCAAAGCCCCTCCCTCCTCCGGTTTTTTTTTTTTGTTTACCGAATAACCGATTTCATCTACTGCACGTGTATGCTTCTCAGGCTGATATACTTATTCATGGGCACAATGCCTTAAACCTTTAATAAGTGCGAAGCATTTGCATTTTTTTGCGCACTGCAAGCACTTCTGGTATCTATCTATCTATCTATCTATCTATCTATCTATCTATCTATCTATCTATCTATCTATCTATCTATCTATCTATCTATCTAGCCGCTTACGTCTGGATGCTCTCGTGATCATCCTCTTGGCGTGAACCAAAATTAGTATGAGAGGGTAAGATCGTTTGACGAATATGACGTGCTGGTCAAGATATGAATAATCTTTAATCCCCTTGCATACGTCGTCACACACTTTCTGCCCGACAGTGGCACATATCCGCGGGCTCGTATGTGCCACAGATGATTGATGCTTAGTATCTACTCAGGAACGGCAAGAACACACATGAGCAATTTTAACGCACGAGAGTTAGAGAAAACTTACATCGGCTGCAATGACACGACAAATTTAGAGAATAACTGTCAGGGTCCCAGCAGGAATCGAACTCCAGCATTCGGCGTGGCAATCAAGTATTCTGCCACAGAGCCACACCAAGTCTCGGAACTACTTTTTAAATAGACCCTGAAGTTCGTGTGCAGTGCTGGCTATCCAATTTTATGAACATTTCATATATACTCTTATGATACAGCCGTCACGGCGGGTTGACGTCAATTGTAGTTAGGTGCCATCTGCTGAAGTTGATTTAGTTGATCGATGCCACATTGCTAGTTTATCATTATTTCATAAGTTCTACCACAGCGCGCTAAATCAAGCACCATAGATTTTGCCACCATCACGCATATTCTATCACATTGGTCACCCCTTAAATGTTGCCCGTGCTCATGCTCGCACAGTCACCTTTGCATCTTCTTTTTTTTCCTCGAGCAGCCAAGGACTGGAACGACATTGCACACGAAATCGCTAACTCAAGCCCTATTGCCTTCATTGAAGCGATCACATCACAATATACCATAAAATAAAGTGTTCAACCTGATGCATATATTGTAACGCACCCCTTATGTAATACCCCCTGGTGGGGTCTTTAAGGAATAAAAGTGAAAGTGAAAGGTAGCATTGTCAAGGGCTACCATCCTCCCGAGCACCAGAACTTCATACCAGCTGATCGCTTCTTGTGTTGCTATTATTCACGTTCTTTTGGGCATTGTTGCATAAGTACAAACATCTGGTTATGTAAATATCTGCGAATGTTCAACCTATGGCTGTGCGTGCAACATTTGTACGTATAATTAGCACCAGTTTGTAACATGTCGCTCAATATAAAAATTACAACACGGCCACCTTGCCTTCACGTGCTTTGCATAACGTCGATTCCCAACGCACGTGTGATCTGTTTAATTGTTTTCATGTTTTGCATTGAGTATCAGAATTTATATTAGCAACAACTAGTATTCCTTTCACACTTCATTTTAACTAAACATAACGTAAAAAAATATGCTTAAGTCATCGATAATTTTGATAACATGAGGCGCCACGCTACAAAAGAACTTTTTGACTCTGTTCGGCGAACATAACCACTTTGCACATGAGTGTACTGAGACAACCACGCTCACAGACCAAGAAGATTTTTTGAACAAACGTATCAGAAAGGACGTTTGTGCCTACATACACATACACAGTAGCAGCCACTGCTGTTCTTAGAAATGCCAGATTTGCTCAAAATATTCTTAAACAAACACATTTGAGGAATGCCGTTTCGACGAACAGTAATGCGCATGTTCGAGGGTCGTACTCCGATCGCAACACTCCTTCATTAAGACACAAGTGCCACACAAAGATCACGGGGTCATGAAAATAAACACAAGACAAAAACATCGCGAAAAAAAAAAACGGAGCAAGGAGATAGGGACACGTGCCGCGTGAGAAAGCGCGCTTCTAAGTAGAAGCACATGGGCAGATGTACCGCTGTGCAAATGCGAAAAAAAAAACAAAAAAAAACAAATACAAACAACTATCACGATACAAAAGAAAGCCATTATACTGGGATAATCGGTGAAGAAAACAGACATCTCCAGTATAACTGTTTGCCTCCTAGCTTTGTCCTTTAGTTATTTTTTTACCATGTTAATGCCTTGGGCGAAGAGTAGGAACTAGTCGAAGAATAGCGAGAGAAAGAAAAATGAAAGTCAGAAAGGTTAACCAGAAAAAGACTCCGATTTGCTACCCTCTGCTTGGTAAATAAAAAAATGAGTGCAAAAAAAATCAAAGAGAAGAAGAGGCGTTTGTCACAGTAGAGAAAAAAAAAAGTGACTGGAGAACCCACCAAGCATATACGCAGCAACAATGTCCGCGAAGAGTCACAGTTTATCTCTCAGTACGTTTGATTGCACGAACCCAGACCTTCCCGATAATCACCTACAGAAGAAGTCACGTAAGCACAAGAGAATAGGCGAGCAGATATTATTCGACGTCGTTTGTACAGGTGCTACTTCCACCCAAGAAATTCCTTTCTTTTTGCATTCGGTTGTGTTTTTATACGGTAATATGGAAGAGCACGCCCCATATGGTCAAAAGAATCAATTAATGCTGTAAACGGAAACACATCATCAGTAAAAAAGGGCCAAGTGATGGTTACGCTAAATATGACGCAAACCATGTAAATCACGCATACAGTTGATTTCAAGCTGACACCAGATAGAATATTTCTGATGTATTGTAGACGATTCTTTCTGTTCGCTTTAGTGCTTTAGTTCCAGCGTTTTAGCCCTTCAGTGTAGCACCTCAGTGTGCCTCCTTAGTGAGAGTAGCTAAGCATAGAAGTGGCTCCTAGCTCGGTGATTGCACGTTTTTCTTCCCCACTGCTTTTGTGCTGAGCCCACCTTGACAGGATACGGACAATTAGCCTAGTTCTTCACCTGATGCGCGACAGTCAACATTAATTACCAGGAAGGGGGGGGGGCAGTGTGGGTTAATATTGTCACTCCGTATCAAAAAGCTTTCGTTACCACCGCACCAAGCTATAGATACGACTGCACTGCGAGAGAATACGCGCACTGCGCACAAGGTAAACAGCCGATATGAGCTGCGTTCGCACCTGCCCGTCGTTTTCACACAGTATAGGAGAGAAAAGCTAAATGACGTGGATGCCTTTCTGCCTCTAGATTCCAGAAAGCGGTGACAAATACCATTGTTTACGGCTTCCTCGATACCAGAGCAATTCTTTATAAATTATCATTTGACATGGCACCGCTGTGTATACGGATGGTTATTAAAAAGAAAAAAAAGTGCTATAGCACGCAGCATGATACATGAAAGCTGTCGCATTGAAAAAACAGGAATGCATTTCAGTAACAGCAGCTGTTGTATGAGTTCGGCTGAGGTCAGAGCTGATGCTGACGACCTTACCCATTTATAATAAACAGACGAAAAATCAAAACAAAAAAGAATAATTGCAATGCCGAAGAGAAGAATGCATAAACAAAATGAAAGAGTTTGCGGTTTCTATCTCCAGGAGCCCCACTGCTGAATGGTTGGGAAACAAAAAATCTCAGTATTGGTCCACGGAGATAATAAAATAAATGCATGAATTTTTATGCTACAGTGATAACAACGGGAAGGGCCGAAGTAATAACCAAGTAGAAAGCGATATATAATGCTTAGAAAAAATTGGCCGCCTATTGCGATACTGCATAGTGAGATTTCCGAGCGCAACTTCGTGTTGGGGCCACAGCAATTCTGTTTCAAGTTTTTGGCTGCCCGCACTTGTATCAATGGGAAAACTCGTTACATAAATGTAAAGTCCGCGCGTCGTGAA